CAGACCTTGCCCAGGGACCTGGACTCCCAAGTGGGGCTCGGGGAGCACGGAGCCGCTCTCTATTTCCTGGAATCCAGGATCTGCCAGCCATGCAGAGGAAAGGAAGCACAGGCAGGGGCTGCGGGGGAAAATGGAAGCCACCCCGAGGAGGAGCCTGACTTGCTTTTGGCATAAACTTTTTATTTCATCGACTTTATACTACACAAGAATGATGTTCCCATAGCACATGCCCCTGGGTGCTGTGTTAAATAATCGTCCCCTCGCCTCGGGTCTGTCTGAGGGTGTTAGTTCCGGGACATCAATCAGTCAGTTTCTGCTCAGCAATCTGAAGAGAACCATTTCTATAAAATCAGAAAGGGAAAAAAAGAAGAAGAAGAAAAATGCAGGGAAAATGGTGCTCACTGCTGTTTTCCTGCTCTCTGGTCGTCAGTGCCGCTCTCCCCAGGTCCTGACGTCCTGATTGATTCATGCTTTCACAGGTTCATTCACGGATTCACTCAGCCACCATTACTCATTGGAGTGCCAGGCCCTGTGCCGTGTCTCTGAGCCAGTGAGAAAGCCGGCAAGGTTCCCGCTTACTTGATGTTAAGAACTGGTTCAAGATGAGCAAATGCACAACAGAGTGACTCCCTCGGGGTCTAGGGGCAATGTCATAGTACATAGCTTGGAGACAAAGACATCTTGTTCTTCTAGCAGAAGGTTTGAAAATGATCCAGAAACTATATGTGGTGTTGCCTGTCTGCTGCGAACACTGGAGAGGAAGAAGCAGGAAGATAAAGAGTTCAAGGCCAACCTGGGCTATGTAACAGGACCCTGTTGTTTTTGTTGATGGTGGTGGTTTTTGTTTGGTTTGGTTTTTTGTGTTTTGGTTTTGTTTGGTTTAGTTTGGTTTGGTTTTTCAAGACAAGGTTTCTCTGTGTAGTCTTGGCTGTCCCAGAACTCACTCTGTAGACCAGGCTGGCCTCAGACTCACAGAGATACGCCTGCCTCTGCCTCCTGAATGCTGGGATTAAGGGCATGTGCCACCATTGCCTGGTTTGGTTTGTTTTTTAAGGATTGGGGCTAGTAAGACAACTCGGTGGGTAAAGGTGCCTGTTGCCAACTCTGGCAACCTCAGGGACCCTCACAGTGGGAGGAGCACCAACCTCCAACTCCACAACTGTCCTCTGACTTCCACACATGTGCTGTGACATGCATGTATTCGAGTGCATGTGCACTAAATAAATGTAAGACATATTTAGCCAGATGGTGGTGGTGCACGCCTCTCCCAGCACTCGAGAGGCAGAGGCAGACAGATCCCTGTGAGTTTGAAGCCAACCTGGTCTACAGAGCTAGTTCAAGGACAGCTATGGCTGTTACACAGAGAAACCCTGTCTCGAAAAACAAACAAAAAGGAAAGGAAAGGAAAAGAAAGGAAAGGAAAGGAAAGGAAAGGAAAGGAAAGGAAAGGAAAGGAAGGGAGGGAGGGAAGGAGGGAGGAAGGAAGGAAGGAAGGAAGGAAGGAAGGAAAGAGGGGAGGAAGAAAGGAAGGAAGAAAGAAATTTTTAATTTAGAAAAAATGAGGAGGAGCTGGGCATTCTGGTATAGTAGCAAATGTCTGGACACTCCCAGCACTTGGGAGATGCAGGAGTAGGATCTGGTCCTCAAGGTCATCCTCAGCTGTTTATCATGCTTAAAACAGCCTGGGCTTTATGACACCTTCATGGGAACTCAAAACACACAGGCAAAATAAATAAATAAACAAGCCACAAAACAATGTGGTCCAGAAGCCACTGCCATGCCAGAATCAACACCTCCCTGCCATATACCTGCAGTTTGGCTCTCCTGAGTAGCCATCTAGGAGTGGGAGCAAGAGTGTGATATGGGCTGGAGAGACGGCTTGGCGATTAAGAGGACTAGTTGCTCTTCTAGAGGACACAGGTTTGATTCCCAGCGCCCACATAGCTACTCATAACCATCTGTGATTCCAATTCCAGGGGACGCAATGCCCTCTCCTGGTTTCTGCAGGGAGCAGGCATGCAAGAGGTACGGAGAAGTATACACGTGCAGGCAAACACCCATACACATGAAGTAAGATAATAATAATAAAAGGGTATGGTATGAATTCCACCTTGGACAGTAATTGATCAGGTGACTGTAGGCAAATCCTTCCCATCTCTGAGTTGCTGCTTCTTTCTCTTTGAAATTAGGTAGCTAATACCCATCATATGCTAGCATAGTGTCAAAGAAGATTATACATGTAGACACCAGAGTTAGTGCCTGACACACAGTAGGGCCTAAATTTATGCTTGCACCTTTGCCAATTGTATGCATCTGTTGCATCTTTAACAGCCAGCAATTGGTGCTGAAGCTTGGGAGTCAGGGCTACAGGAAGACCCAGCATTCCCTTGCCCCATGTACCTTTGCTTCATGCTGTACTCCAAGTCTGACTGCTCTTGGGTGGAGGGTATCTCACAGTGTGGGAGGGAGTCGGGAGGTCTGGTTTTGCTTCTGTACTTCCCAGACACTGCATACATCACTGCTCCTCACCCTGATTCAGGTACAAAAGCGTATTGTTCATGTGTGTGACCCGTATGTGGAGGTGGCGATGGTGTTGATGCAGGAGGTGCTGGTGGTCGTGATGGTGTTGGTGAAGGTAATCATGGACCTTCTTCTTCTTCTTCTTCTTCTTCTTCTTCTTCTGCTGCTGCTGCTGCTGCTGCTGCTGCTGCTGCTGCTGCTGCTACTGCTGCTGCTGCTACTGCTGCTGCAGGAGGAGGCGGTGGTGACAGCCGGCGAGAGTGGTGACCACGTGCTGGAAGTTCATTTAAGAACACTTTACTCAGAAGAGAGCTAGAAGAAAGAGCTCGGTTTCAGTTGAGCCGGGAGGGCCTCCTGTGTGCTGGGTCCTGTAGTGTCTGCCTGGCTTTCACAGCGTTGCCTGGGGAGTGCTGGGAGTGCTGTCCCCTTCCGCAGATGGAGTACACAGAGCTGTGTGCAGTCAGACTGAGGGGAGAATCACAAATTCCAGGCAAGCCTGGGCTACAAGGTGAGACTCTGAATAAACAAAACTCTGAGCCCAGAGCTATCAGGTGACTTGCTAGAGGCATGGGAAGGTATTGAAATCCTTTGGCTTCTAACCCATGTTCTTGGTTTTTGTTTGTTTAAAAAAAAAGGCTACGCTGGGCCTCGCAGATTCTTGGTAGGTGGCCTATGAGTGTGGTCCACTTGTGAACTGCACCCCTCGCTCCCGCTCACCTTCTTGTCATCACAAGGCCACCCACCTGCATGCCAACCGGATAGAAATGGCCATTCTGGACGCTTTAGTGACTACCACTTTCTGCAGTGGGTCCTAGCCGTTTTGTCTGCACTTCTCAATCTCGGAAGCAAGGAAGATGCAAAAACCACGAGCCCAGGAACCCTTGGAGTTCTGCTAACTCCGCCTCCTCAGCTCCTGGGCAGCCTCTGTTATCTCCTCACCCTGTCCACTGTCAAGTGCAATCTCCCCTCCGGCAGCAGAGGAGAGTGGCAGGCAGCCCAGTTGCCGCTGCCTGACCCATTAAATCGATAGCTCCACTCCCAGGTCTGACTGTGGGCTTCCTTTGGCCTAGACACCATACTAGAGTGGCTCTGAGTGGCACAGAGATGGAAAGGCACTGGCTGGCACTCTTCTTCCCTTTCTCTGAGCTTTGAGATGGTAAGTTTGGGAATCTAGCAGTCTTGTTATCCTGGTTCTTTACTGGTCTTGGACTTGATTTTTCTATTAAAGCAAGAGAACTGTGCTGTATTTGATTCCCAAACACCCCCAGCAGGAAGCCTTCCGGGATTCCTGGCATCGTCCCAGGCCTCTGGTTCACCTGCACCATTCCTTTCACTTCAGGAATATGTGTTAGAGTGTGAATCACGGTGATGCCAGGGGTGATGGCAATGCCGATGACGGTGATGGTGACAGTGACGGAGAATGTGAGGGTGGCCTAGTAGCTCTTGGGTGGTCACCACAGACTAAGCTCTCTCAGGAAAGAGGCCGACTGGCCAACTATCGTCTTCTACATCTTCAACTCGAGCTGGCCTCAAACTCTCTACATAGCCAAGAATGGCCTTGAATTTACAATCCTACTGACACATCCTGAGCCCTGGGATTACAGGTGTGGCCCACCGCACTTGATTTTATACAATGCTGGGACTGAACCTAGACTTTGTGCGCGTGCTAGGCAAGCACTATCCCAGCCGAGCGCATGGCCGCCGCCCCCACCCCCGTGCAATTCTTTAATAGTAGCGGTGATTTATGGAGTGTTACCCATAAGCAAGTAACATGCCAAACACTCTATACATAATAATTCATTTACTCTTCCCAACAACCCTATGAAGTAGGTATTAATATTTGAAAGAAATGTTGCTGAGGCCTGGAGAGGTTAAGTACCTCACATACTCAAGGTCATACAGCTTGCCCCAACCTACAAGCCAGTCTCAACTTCTGCTCTCCTTTCCTGTGTTCCCAGTAGAGCTGTATTAGGAAGAGTCAAAAGGTAAGGGGCAGGACCAGCGGGACTTCAGAGGTCTCCACTGTCTTGGGATTTCCAGGTCACAACAATGGACTCTTTCTCCCTGGACCCCAGGCGGGATAGCGGGATGTGGGGAGAACTGGGTTCCATAGTAAGGGCAGGTCTGACCTTTGGGAGCTCACCCCAGAGCTCCAGCCTGGGGCTCCCTCCCTTGGGAGCTCCAACTTGCTGCCTCCCTCCCTCTCAGGATCTCATTATATCCCTAAGAGAAACTGACAGCCTCAATATCTTACTTTGCAAATATAGTTTATTCCTTCAATAAAGCCGCCTGCGCAGGGGAATGTTTAAGCCCGGGTCTCCCCCGAGAGCCTCATTTGAATTTCTAAAGTCTTTAGTCGGCTCCTCCAATGGGGCAGCTGGGTAATGAAAACGCAGCAGCCTCTTAGACAGGATTCATTTCCTGTCTGGGTCTCTGCTGCCGGAGGAGCTGGACAGACCGGCGGGAAAACTGCTGCCTACCCGGAGGTCGTGGCACGGGCCTGAGCCCCCAGCCCGCTGGGTGGAGGCCATGGATCATGCCCACGCAGATGGGTCTGTGGATTCCGTGGGGGGAGGGGGAGGTAGGGGTTCAGTCTCCAACTCTCCCCGCCCAGGTCTTTCCTGGTAGGCTCAGCTCAGGGACCTTTAGCCCATAAGTCCCTTCATGGGATCTCCCTGATGGAGGGTCTCTCCATGGAGACCTCCTAGTGACCCCTCCATAGGGTCCCCTATACCGGGACCCTTTAGACAGCATTTCTCAGGCCAGGACGCTTCCCTGGAGGCCAAGCCCACCAAATCTTTGGAGATGATGTCTGCTCCCGGGCTGGACCCCCTCACTCTAGGGCAGCCCCTATCCCGGGCCCCCTGGGAGTCTCTAATTAAAGGGCCGGCACGCCCCTCTGGGACTCATTAGGCCCGCTGTGCAGAGAACATTTAATCATTGCTCAGAGCATCGATTGGAAAATCAATTTCTTTGTCTCTCCGCACGAGGCGCGCTGGAGAAGTGGGGGGAGCGCTGACCTCCTTCTGCTGCCGTGTAAAGCGCTGCACATTTAATCAGGGAACAGAAATCAATTAGCCACTTACGAGGTTGGCTTTAGTTACCGAGTCGGCAGGGCCCGCGCCACAGCTCAGCCGCTGACAGTAGCGGATCTCCTCGCCAGCCCTGCTGCATGGCTCTGTCTCCCTGCATCTCTCCAGGTTCCTTCCTTCCCAGAGTGCTCTGGGTTCTCATCATCTAGGCAGATGCTCATTTAACCCCAGACAAGTCCTGAGAAGCCTCCCCAACGCCCAGTCTCCCTCTGTCACCTTCCTGTGCTCAGCGCTACCCATTCCAAGAAGTCAGTAGGCGATTCACATCTTAGCTTTGATCACTGGAATTCCATAATGTCGGGGAAGTAATTGTCAGTCCGAGTGACAGATACCTCAGGCCCACTTTACCCGGAAAATGAGAATAACAGTGCTTGCCTCTCCAGAGTGTTCTGGAAATCCAATGAGATCATTTTGGGGAAGTGCCTACTAAGTAGTTTGAGCTCCATCCAAAGAACTTTGAACTCACAGTAGGGGGGCAGTGTCCTCCTCCTCAGAAAAGCGTGGGTGTGAGCTGGGACCCTCTAGCCGCAGCTCTCTTTCCTTCCAAGACAAGGATAGGTGGGTGCCGGGCCCCTTTCACCCTCTGCATTTCCACATTGTCTTTTGGGGGGTCGCCTTGGAATCAACTGTGTCTCTGTCCCCTTGCTCACAGCCGCACCCTCCTGGCAGCTCCCTCACTGACAATTATGCTCCCCTACCCCCAGCTCCAGAGGTAGAGGCCTTTCATCCCTGCCTCACGTACTCGAGTTACACACACCCAATTACACAGTTGTACACCGACTGCACGCCCCATTACACATAGTTTCGGAGAGTTGTTCCTACGTTGAAATCCCAGGCATCCGAAGCCCGCACGCAGCTGTCCTTCTTCCGCCACACATTTGGTGTCATATACACAGACCCACCTTGGTCCCATCACCACGCGGTGTGGCACACTGGTGGCACAAGCGCCCTCCCACACGCGCATAGCCACGCAGGCTGGCGCACACCCGTTCCATAATAATATTAGACATGCCATTTCTTTTGCATGACAGTTCCAGTGGAGATGCTTGGAGCTGTCACTTGGATGAAAAATAATGCATAATCCTCGTCTTCCTTCCTTCCCTTTCCTTTCTTTCTTCCCTGTTTAATGAGCTCCTAAAAATATTCCTTGCTGTCTCGCCGAGGATGTGGGCTAAGTGTGAGTCAGGTCTTTCTTCTCTCTCCCCGTCCCCCACTGCCTCCCTCAGCCCCCTGAGTGGCAAGGAGGATGAAGGGTCACAGTGAGCTGCCATGCTTGGCCAAGCCCAGATCATGTAGAAGGGCTACCAGCCAGGCCTTCTGAAGATCTGAGTCAGTACCTGTCCTCCCTTGACTGGCCCACCTGAACCGGAGATCAGAAACAGGGGAGACATGGGTGGGCGCAAGCAGAAAGGCAGAAGCCCCTCACCACCCCCCACACCCACACCAATTAGCTCCTGGCCTGCTTCACAGGCCTAGCAGCCTCCATCGTCCCTCTGCCTCAGAAGGGAAAGGCCTCCATGGAGACACCATCCCTTCTCCACCTCCTAGCGTTCCTGCGCCATCCTCCCAGAACTCGGAGACAGGGAAGAGGGACTCTCAGGGCCCTGAACTCCCAGTGTTTTCCAGCACCTTCCCTTGCCCTTACTGGAAAGGCCATACAGTCACATATTCCTCGCTTCATCCTTTAAAGCCCAGGCCGACATCACCACTTCCTTGGAGCCTTTCTGATTCTGTTTTGTTTCCTCACTCATCCTCACTAGATACCAGTCCCTGCCTTGTTCACCCAGCTCTGACTGAACTTGAAAGCTTGTGTCTCTAGGGTGATAGGACAGGGAGTAGGTGCAGGGAGGGAGGGAGAGCTGGTAGGTGATGGGAGAAGCTCAGGGGCCTGAGTCCTGGGCCTGACTGCTCACACAGGTTCTACCAAAATTCACTATGATTTGGGGGAATTTAAGGTTTTCTCTTGACCTCGGTTTCTCCATTTACAAGATGGGAGAGCAGGGTCAGGTGGCGTCTGAGATCTCACACAGCTCTGACAATCTTTACTTGGTAATCCAGCAGAGGGTCAGAGTAGAAGTGTCTACAGCTCTTTAGCATGCTACCCCTACTGTGTGCAGGAAGCCTCAGGTGCTGGGTTGTACGGTTCTGTCAGCCTTTCTGGACCTTCCGCCTGCCTCCCACCTCCTCTACACTACCTCCTAGGCTCCTAAGTCTATTTCTGGGCTTTCTGTTCATCCTTTGTCCCCTTACTGTTTTCTCTGGGGCTGCCAGCCTGCCATTGGTCCCCGGAAGCCAGTTCCTTCCCCCTGCTCTGCTTGCCTCCCTCCCCAGCCCACCTGCTGCTGGAGCCCCCTCCCTGCGCACCTCCCCAGCTCTTCCCAGCGGCTCCAGTCCCGAAAGGTTAAGCTAATAGCAGCTCCTTTCTCATCAGCTGTTCTTGTTTGCTCTACATAATTGCTGTGGAGGGGGGCTGGGTGGGGTGGGCCCTTTGGTGGCAAGTGTATGGGGTGGGGGCTGGGCAGGCTTGTCAGTGGGAAGGGGGACATGGTGAGAGGACACTTGCAGAAAATGGATGGAAGGCTGTGTGGGAGCCAAGAATATTGAGGGAGACAGCTGTGGTATAATAGTCACCTGAAGAGGGAGGAATGGAGTCCAAAGGAGGGCTAAGACAGCACCACTCCTGGGAATAAAATACCACCAGCCCTGGCTGTCAGGAGGATTTATCAGGTAAGGACTGTGAGCCAGATGTTTGACTGGCTCTATCTCATCGGATGCTTGCACTGGTCTCAGGAGGCAGAGTCAGCCTTTGTACCCATGACTTTTCCTTGTGCCCATTTTACAGGAGACAAAGGCTCCAGGAGGAAGAATCTCCTGACTGAGGCCACACATGGCTAAACAGCAGAACCTCCGGAACTCTGAATATGTGCCACACACCCATCTAAGACCGTGGTGGTGGTGTTTCCTCCTCTTCCTTTTTCTTCTTTTTGAGACACAGTCTTATCATGTAGCCGCAGCTGGACAGGAACTCACTATGTAGACAGGCTGTACTCGAATTCAGAGATCTGCCTGCTTCTGCCTTCATAGTACTTGGATAAAGTCATGCACCACCAGGTCCACCTTGAAAGTCGGGGTCTCATGCAGCACAGGCTGCTCTCTAACTGGCTATGTAGCCCGAGATGGCCTTGAACCCCAGCTCCTCTTGCTTCGGTGAGCACCACCCAGCCCAGCCGGATACTGCTATTAGTCACGGCCTTCGCTTGAGGAGTGAGGCTTGCAGGAACCTGGGAGGCAATTAAGTTGAACCCACTCCATGTCCAGAGTGGCAGAAGGAAACAGGCTTGTCCAAAGTCATACAGGAAGTTGTTATGACTATGTTTAGATCCATGGGTGATGCTGAAACAATTGCTCATCATCCGGGTCTTGGTCACCTTAGGGACTCCTACGGTTGGGGTGCCAGGGTGAGGGGCAGTGAGATAGACGAGGCATGCTTCCCGGGAAGTGGAGTTTGGATCTAGAGTGGTCTGATGTGCATGGCTGAGAAAAGGCACACCTGGAGGGGTCCCCTCTGCCAGGAGCAGCAGCCTTGGCCTCCTTCTGTGTTGAGCACTTTTAATAATTTATTGGGGACAGAGCAGGGGGCAGATCAGCACACATAGGTACAGCAGTGGGGGATGAATTAGGCCAGCATTGTTAGAGGGTTAGAAGCCAGTGTGCCAGCTAGCTGCTAGTCCATCTCAGCTATAGCTTCACGGCTACTCTCCTCCACATTCTGTCACCCAGCTCAGACCTGGTCCCCCAGTGCACCTCCCATAGGACAACTTGCCTATTTATTGAAGGAGAGGCCATTTGTTTGTTTCCCGGCAGCCCGGCAGCTCAGCCCCGAAATAACCACTCAGAAACTGTATTAATTAAATCACTGTTTGGCCCATTAGCTCTAGCTTCTTACTGGCTAACTCTTTTTTATTATTATTATTTTTATTGAGCTCTACATTTTTCTCTGCTCCCCTCCGTGCCTCCCCTCCCCTTCAACCCTCTCCCAAGGTCTCCATGCTCCCAATTTACTCAGGAGATCTTGTCTTTTTCTACTTCCCATGTAGATTAGATCTATGTATGTCTCTCTTAGGGTCCCCACTGTTGTCTATAACTCTTATATATTAATTTAACCCATCTCCATTAATCTGTGTATCACCACGAGGCTGTGGCTTACTAGGTAAAGTTTCGGCAGGGCTACATGGCTTCTCCAAACTCCGCCTTCCTTCTCCCAGCATTCAGTTTAGTTTTACCCACCTAGCTCTACTCTACACTATCAGGCCAAGCCAGTTTCTTTATTAACCAATGGTATTCATAGCATACAGAGGGGAATCCCACAACACATTTCCTCCCAAGCAAAGGTCACTCAAGGCCAGGTGCTGCCTCTGTCTTTAGACTTGAGGGCTCCCTGAAGCAAGGTCTATGTCTCCTTTTCACAGTGGGGTTCCTAGAAAGGCAATGGACCTCTCCATCAGGCTGGACATTTATCTAAGGCACGTATGCTCCTCCTCTATCAGACTATGACTTCTAGCCTACACCCTGTGCTTTGATGGTCATGGTAGCTTTGGCATTGACTCCATCCTGAATCATCCTGCTCCCAACTCTGCCAGTTCACAGCACTGGATTGGCCTGTCTCTCCCTGTCTCCTGCCTCCCTGTGGGAACTTGAGACTTCCCTTAATTGGAGTCGGTGCCACCCAAGTGGACTCCCTTCTCTCTGCCTGCCCTCCACGGTAAATGTCCTCACACCTCTAGGGGGATATGACCAATTCTCACCGTTCACACCATGAATGAGAGCTCTGTGACAATATAAGGAAAGCAGGGTGGGAGGGGTGACTCAGGGGCCACCTTTCTCACGAGGGGACTTCTCAACTTTACTTGGACAATGCCAGCTCAGGGCATTCTCTGTCAGTCGAATAGGGAAGTGATCTCTTTATTTTGGAGAATGATCAGCTCTCTGCAGAGACTGTTCCCAGAGGGAGCTAGGATACCCTGTGATGATCATGCATGCGTGCAGCTGGGATGCTACATTCGAGAACTACGGTTCATGGCCTAACGTGGGCCCTCAAGTCTTCACAGCTGAAGTTCACCTCATACTTGGGTACATGTCCCGACCAGTACCTCAGGGGGAAGCTGTGGCAGTCCAAGTGAGCAGACATCTCATTGGTATTCCGTGTGGCCAAGTCATGCCATGACTTTCTCTGAGAGACCTCCATCCTCTCCCTTGGCGTCACCTTTCAAAAATTGTCCAAGGAACATCAATAGCGGGAATCAATTCATCAATGAGCATCTTGGCCTCTCTTCCAACCCTCATCCTGCGGAGTTTCTCTGCATTCCTAAGCACTCCATCATCCATGCTCTATATACCATTTTTTTTTTTTTTTGGAGGAAGGGTCTTAGTATCCCAGCATGTCTTCAAACTTCCTGGGTAACCTTGAACGTCTCATCTTCCTGCCTCCACCCCCAGAGTGCTGGGGTTACAGGTGTGTGCCACCATTCCCGGCTTTCACACCACTGGGGACTGAACCCAGGGCTTTGTGCATGCTAGTCAAACACTCTACCAACTGGGCTACGTCCCAAGCTCCACACATCACTTGTAGAACCTGGTCTTGCCTTGCCATCTGAGAGACCTCAGAGGCCAAGCCTTTTCTATTCCTAGGACCTTTACCTGAGTAAAGCAGGTTGCACAGCTTGGGGCTGATCATGGAGTAGAGCCGGGAACCTAGGGCATTATAGTTTGAGCCTTATTAGACACCACACAATATGAGGGGAGGTGCCATGCCTTAGGGATGTGGGGGAACCAATCATTTTTCCAATATTTAAACCCTAACATTCAGCATCTACTTCTTACCACTGACTATGACTCCTTGACTTACGTTACCTCCCCAACAATAATGACCTATGCTCAATCAACTATCAAATGTCTACTCAACCC